CCACCTCGCCCTTAATTGAACGTTTCGGTGCGCATACATGACCATATCCACAATTCGCACCTTAATTGAGTCAAGAATATGTAGAAGACCCTTTCATTACTTCGTAACCTATGCGTAAACAAGCCTTCGTGGTCTAGTAGTATGATTCGCCCTTCGGGATTTGTCCCGTAAGCTTTATGTGGCCTGCTTACATAAGAATAGCTTACGTAATCAATTGGGTGAGGTCCTGGGTTCAATTCCCAGCGAGGGCCTTCCTTTTTGGGACATTTATCCAGCCTATAACTTTGTACTACTTGAAAAACCCGATTAGAGGGTTGTTGGGCCGTCTTTTTGACATGATCCTGACATTTACTTTTTGATCGGGTAATGAAACACCCGGCGCCTCATTGATCGCTCTAGGGAACGTTGGAATAACCCCATATTCATCTGGAATGAAAGGGGGACCAAGAATTGTCTGGAAACCGCTTCAAAATGAGGGGAGGATGCCGCTAGGATTCATTGAGATGGTCATTACCATCTGGCATCCCTGCCCCCTATTTGGCTTGCACTTGCCTCTGGCTTGCCATGGCTATGTTGTCCTGTGCTCAAACCCATCTAGTGCGCTGATTTGCACGCATATATCCATACTAATGGCGGGGGCATGTACTCAAAGATAGCAAGGATCTACTTGAGTTTATGATCGACGTGCCATTGCACACTAGCCGTCAGCCCCTTTTCCGGCCGTGCGGGTGTTGTTTGGGTGCGTTCGGGATTCAGTTATGTGACCATTCAAGTTCTTCCCTCACCGGCTAGGAACACCAGCAACAAAATCCTTATGCCATGGTAGCCCTTGGAGCTTTCCCGGGCCCTAGATGATACTTGATATAAATCTCGTTAACTATCCGCTCAAGGAATTAGACCCCAGTAGTTTGCTGATCATTCTGAGTTGGCATTGGCGAATGCTAGCCTCTACCAGAGCCGACGTATTGAACCACATCGACCATGTCCTGTTCAGGCAACACCTGCACCGCCTCCAACTCGTCGACTCGCCCTGATGCACATACTATCACAACGAGTCCGAAATTATCACGCACTACCTCCTCAAATGACCACACTTTGCTGCCAAACGCTAAACATACCTTGCCTCGCAAGGCCACGACTTCCTCCGGTTCAA